AATGTGAAATACCTCTTATCCAAGATTGAAACAGTACCAAGAGAAACATTAAGAATTTCAACTATGTCATTGCTTTACGGTCCTAGGGGTAAATTCAACAGAACAGATAAAAATTCTTTATGTGAACATAATTTTTTGTATTTACCACGTTTTTTTGATGTCTTTTTATTTGGGATTTTTTTAGAATACCATTTTATTTCAGTTTTGAAATTAAATCAATGATGTACAATTGGTTTTATTAGGTCATGGATAATTTTAAAGACTTTCACAGAAGGAGCAGTTGAGTAAAAGTAACACTTCTTGTCAGTTAATAAGTGTTTTTAGACTTTGTTTTGAAGATTATTTTTGACTTTATTTTCAATTAAATTCACCTAAATTTGTAACTTTCTGTTTTGAAAAAGAAGATAATGATTTATTTTTTGTAATTTGCCAATATAAGTTTTTTTCAGTTTAGTTATAAAAAAAATTGAGTCATGAGCTTGAGACAACTCAATAAGCCTTAATGAGTTAAATCTTAATTTAAGATTAGAAAGTGAATTAATATAATTTCATTTTCATCTACTCCTTCTACTACTACTGGTACTAGTTCAATCATAAAGTAAACCTATTTTTTGGACTGAAGTTGACACCAAGTAATGAGGAACTTTAATAGAAAAAGTTATTGTAGTACCATATTTTGTTGATCAAAATCTCGATTTTGGTTCTACAGTATGTAGTTAAGTTTACGTTTGGTTTAAATTTTTTTAAGTAAAGGCTGTGTGGGGTCAGCATTTATTGTACTATTTAGAGGTACAAAAAAGCAACTTTATGTCTAGAATCGTATCCGGGTTTTTCAGTGGAAAAAATATTTTTTAAATGTAGGCTCTTTATCTTAAAAATGGTTCAGGCAAACTCGTGCATCTTTAGACAGAAAAAAATCAGTTGTTCCAGGAGCGCTTTTTAGGCGGTTAACAAGTTTGATCCAAATTTCACGTTGAGAAGGAGATTTTTTTATTGTTGGAAAAGGTGATGTTGGAAAGGAAGTTGGAAAAACTGAGAAGGTAATGCACAAGTACACCCAATTTCTTTCTTTTTTCATTTATGTTTGTATTTCATATTTTCATTTCATAAGTTTACAACTTCCATTTGAGCAACATTTTACGACACAATGATATGCCATTGCACCAATAACACAGGTCTGCAACATAAAATTTATTTCAAATTTAATAAGTGATTTTTATAGTATTTTCAACGCTGATTTCGGGAAAAATAGTGAGAAATTCCATCACGTACAGTTATTTTACAAACTTTTTTGATATTTTTTATAAATAGTTCAGTACTCTAGTAAGTTTAAACTTTGGTTTTTAAAATCTCCACAAACTGATATTTAGCCTAAATTACAAGTTGTTTTATGGACAATGGCTACCAGAGGATGTATAAACTCACCAGATTGCTTCTGCTACATTTATGGTAACTATACCATTAAAAAGCGACAAAGAAACATCTCCAATTTTGTTGAAAAGGTATATTTTGCCTATTTTGGTATAAAGTTAGGCAATCAAGATAAGTCTTGGGCTCCACACAAATTTGTTCAATATGTGTTGAAGAACTGAGACAATGGTTTCAAGGTAAGAAGCAGTCCTTAAGTTGTGGAATACCAATGATTTGGAGGATGCCTAAAAATCATAGTGATGACTGTTATTTTTGTTCTTGCAACGTACAAGGTTTCAATTTGAAAAACAAAACGGATATTTCTTACCCTAACATTCAATCAGCCATTTTCTCTATTCCTCATGGACCTGGAGTACCAATACCATCTCCTCCAGATTCTTTGCATGGTATTTTAGATGATCACGAGATATTGGCTCAGCAAGGTGATAGTGAAGAAGACAGTGATTACTACAATCATGACACAACCGATCCCATTCCATTCTCACAATCTGAACTGAACAATTTAGTTAGAGAACCAGGTCTTCCTAAAGACTCGGCAGAAGTTTTAAAATCTAGATTAAAAGATAAAAACTTTGGATCCGGGTACATCCTTTTCTTGGTATCGATCAAGGGAAACGAAATTTGTATATTTCTTCTCTCAAGAAAGTGACCTGGTATTTTGCAGTGATGTTCCTGGACTTATGGCATGTTTTAAAATAGAATATGCTTCTGATAACTGGAGAGTTTTTATCGATTCATAAAAAAGAAGCTTAAAGCAGTACTTTCTGCACAATAATAATAAGTATGCTTCAATGCCAGTTGAGAACTCGGTCCACTTAAAAGAGTGTTACGAAAACCTTGAACTAATTTTAACTACTCAGACCATAAATGAACTCTGTGCGGAAATTTAAAAGTTATTTCAATGCTACTTGGTCAACAAAGTGGCTATACAAAGCTCCCTTGCTTTCTCTGTAAATGGGACTGTCGAGACAGAAAGCAGCACTACATATAGTTTGGTCCTTGAGAAAAACCTTAGAAGTAGGGGTTAAAATGTTGAGAGAAAAAACTCTCAAAAAGGAGTTACTTCCACCACTTCATATTAAGTTGGGGCTGATGAAACAATTTGTTAAGGCATTCCCAAAAGAAGGGGAGACATTCAAGTATTTTTGTGGGCATTTTCCTGGTTTATCCAAGGCAAAGCTTAAGGAAGGAATCTTTGTCGGACCAGATATTACAAAACTTATGAGAGATCCTAATTTTGTGGACAAAAAGGCCATCGCTCTTGACATTTCTAAAGCGTTTGATAAAGTTTGGCATGCTGGTCTTCTCCATAAGCTTTCTTCTTACAGTGTCTTACTTCTTACATTTTTAAGATTATTGAATCCTTCCTTTCCAATCGTAGTATAAAAGTTGTCCTTGATGGACAGTACTCTTCTTCTTATTCTGTAACCTCAGGGGTTCCTCAAGGTTCAATCCATGGCCCCATACTCTTTTCAATTTACATTAACGATCTTCCAGGTATTCTCACATCTAAGGTGACATTGTTCGCTGATGATACTACCACTTATTATTATCACAATAAAAAGCCAACTCCTTCTGATTGCTTGCAGGTTGCATCTGAGCTTGAAATGGATCTCACTTCTGCTACAGCATGGGTCTCACGGTGGCTGGTGAATTTAATTCAGATAAAACTCAAATTTTTCGGCCAATCGTTATTGCAATAGTTTAGACCTTCCTATATTTATGAACGGTAATGTACTCGATGAGTCTCCTACCCTTCATCTTCTAGGATTAACTCTCACTTCTGATCTTTCTTGGAAACCTCATGTGCTAAAGTTGCATCTCTTTATCGAGCTCGTCACTTTCTTACTCTGGATTCTACTCTCTATCTCTATAAATCTCAAATCCGGCCTTGTATGGAATACTGTTGCAATATCTGGGGCGGATCTTCTAATGATGCCCTTTCTCTTTTAGACAAGGTGCAAAAACGCATTGTAAACATAGTTGGACCTGCTCTTGCAGCCAACCTTCAACCTCTGTCACATCGTCGTAATGTTGCTTCTCTTTCTCTTTTCTACAAATATTATAATGGGCGCTGCTCGAAAGAGCTAGCGTCTCTTGTGCCATCTACTAAACTTCATTCTCGTGTTACTCGTCATTCAATAAATCTCATCCTTTTTCTGTTACTGTTCCTGTTACTGTTCTGTTAAGTGCTCCAAAAACTCTTATTCGTCTAGTTTTTTTACTCGAACATCAGTTCTTTGGAATTCGCTTCCTTCATCTTGCTTTCCTTATTCATATAATTTGCAATCTTTTAAGTCATCTGTCAATCGTTATCTTGCTCTACAATCTTCATCTTTTCTCTTCCAATAACTTCCAACACTAATTAGTGGTTGCTTACAGCCTTGTTGGAAGCGAAGATAATAATAATAATAAAAAAATGGAAACAAAAGAAAAGGCAGCATGGGCATCCTTTAAATTAGTTGTTACCGGTTTCCTAGGAAACAACAAAGATCCAAACTACAAGACCATTGTCACAGACATGCTCGACAACTTTAAGAAGCTTGGCTGTAACATGAGCATTAAAGTTCATTTTTCTCAATTTATATCTTGATTACTTCCATCCAAACCTTGGTGATGTAAATGAAGAGCAAGGCGAAAGATTTCACAAAGACATCAAGGAAAAAAAAAGAAGGAAAGATGGAACGTCAACATATAGCGGACAACTGCTGGATGTTGAATGAGTCCACAGCCAGAAAGGCAATAAAAGAAACTTCGACAGAAAGCAAAAACGTTAGTATAAGGACTTATAAGCTGAAAGAGAAATGTAAGTGTTCTTGAAATATAGTTAAGAAGATGATTTATACATAAAATAAAATTCTATAACGCCTGAAAAATGTGAAAAATTGGTCGAGTTTTGTTATTTTACCTAAAAATAATCCCTTTTTTGTGAGAAAACTTGACGTGATAGGAAAAAATAAATTGCATTTTCAAAATCAGCGCTGAGAAATACATAAAAGTTATCAAATTTTAAACAATATTTTTAAAAATATATTTTTGCAGACCTATTAAAACTATTAAAATTAAAATAATTATTAAAATTAAAGAAGCAAGAAGGATAAAAGTTATATTTCAAAAATTCTTATCTTCAAAATAATTATTTTAGTTTAAAAAAACATCATTTATTCGAAAAATTACTTGACTTCATAAAATGTACCATTTTTCAATGTTTGTTTACTCGAAATTTTTTTGTTACAACATTCGGGAATATTGAAAACCGATTTAATAACGGGTTTTTATTTTTATTTTTAGGCTATATTGGCCTAAATTGTTATTGTTAAATGTTAAATGTATTTGTTGTCATATAAGTTAGTTATAGTACTGAAAGAAGTAGACTTTCATACATGCTACAATATCTTTTTCTGAACTTTAAAAAATGAACTTGCTAAAATTTGTGGCACTTTTGCTGATGTTACAAGACTCTGTTAATGCTACCAAAAGTCTTGTAATGGCTCATTTGGTAAATTTAATTTACAATTTAGTAATTGTTTAAAGTCGTTCTTGTACTATTAAACTATAATCTTTGAAAGGTCCATCGTCATGGTGCACGTTCTCCAATTCATTTTTTCCCTAATAATCAGTATGTTAATCAATGGCCTGTTAATCCTGGAATGCTTACAAAGGTAGTTAGATAATTATTATTTAATTAATTAATTAATTAATAATAATAATAATAATAATAATAATAATAATAATAATAATAGCAATAATGATAATAATAATAGTAAAGATAACAATAATATTAATATCAATTCTATTTTAAATATTATTGCTATTATTGCTATTATTATTATTATTATTATTATTATTATTAATATTATTATTATTATTGCTATTATTATTATTATTATTATTATTATTATTATTATTGTTATTGTTATTGTTATTGTTATTGTTATTACTATATTATTACTTTATTAGTGAAAAAAAAAAGAAAAGAAAAGGAGCCAATTATAAAAAATTGAGAAACCTGCCTAATGCAACAAATTTATAATTGAGCACAAAATTAGTTTATCTTTGCAGTACAACAACTTTCAATGTCTCAGATCGAAAAATAGCTCGTACAATTAGGAGTTAATACGTACAGTAGGATATAATACATGCTTCGTCAACCTATTGTTTTATGTTGTATATGTATATATATAAATTATTAAACATATTATAACATAATACAATTTATTGTATTATGTTATAATATGTTATGTAATTTATAAAATGTTATATATTGTATTACAACATAATACAACCTATTGTATTATGTTATATAGGTATATATATATATATATATATATATATATATATATATATATATATATATATATATATATATATATATATATATATATATATATATATATGTATATATATATATATGTATATGTATATATATATATATATATATATATATATATATATATATATATATATATATATATATATATATATATATATATATATATATATATATATTTGTGAGAGTCGATTTGCCAAATTTATTTCAGATTGTATCCATTGTTCTATGATCTTGATATCTTTTGCCACTTCTTTAATAGTTTTCAACCGTTTTGTACTAACAATTGAGAAATTCCCTGAGTTTTTATGCGATATTCTCCCTTCAAAACTGTGTTTAACCATCTTACGATGCTCTTGACATCATTGTATGCTGTTAACTTCTTTATGTCCCACTTACTAGCTAAGTTTAGTCCTCGAAGTATCAAATCCAGTTCACTTATATTAATATGGTGTCACTGGCCATAGTCATGCTGTGTCTTTAACTAGGTGAAGTATCTTGGTAACGAATAGTAGCATAAATCTGACACAACTCTGTGTGGATAACCTAAGTGTAAACTTGTTACTTCTTGATCTTATTGAAAAGCAGTATGAGCAACAAGAGCTACCGAAACATTGAGAGTTACAACCTCAATATAATCCATGGTACTTTTAAAACTAATTTTCAATCAGTAAGTTAATGTAACTTTTTCCATAATTCTCCTGCCACAAGAGCTAGTTATGTAATTTTCACTGAATCTGAAAACTTTTTCTATGCATTTTGCTCATCATGTTGGGTCAAAGCCTAAATTGTAGCAAGAGATTATGTTAAATTTCGTTGATTATTAATGGTAAAGTATTGGGAAGCTCTTCCTAAAATTAGGCAAACAAAATGCAACAGTTGTAGTATAGTCTTGAAAGGAACTATGAATGAATTGTCTTTTACTAAATTGAACTTTTTTGGTTGTATTGTTAGTTTATTGCAGAAAATCTTAGTGACATATCAGACAGATGCCCGATAATTGATAATATCATATCAGACAGATGCCCAATTGAAAATTTGTTTTCAACTGCTTAAAGTTCAATAGGTTTAATAATCAAACAAAATGTTTTGAGCAGCATTGTTAATGAGAGGCAATTTAGTCAATTTGATTTCACTAAAAAGGAAAACGTTCTACTGTTAAAATTAATGACAATTGAATTTGCTATAGAACGTAAAATTATGGAAATGAGGAGAAAGATTGTGTTATCTGAAGATGGAATCAATAGATTCATGAAAGATTGTCAGCTTATATTTATTTGAATTTGTCAAAAATATTTGAATGAAGATTAAATTAGTCTTCTTTTCTGAAAACAATTAGTTATATCAGTTCAGAGTCAATACAATGGAAAAATAAATCTTTAACAGATGGAAAAAAAAACCATAAGTAAAATCTAGTTTTTACCTGCTTGCATATCCTTTTTAAATAAATATGTTCTTACTTTCCATGCAATTCTTGAAAAGAGTTCATGTAATTTTTTACCAGCATTTAAAAAATTTGACAATGGAAATTGTTTAAACCAGTTTTATTTTAAAACCAGTAAAGTTGGTATAAAATACAAAATGTTTTCAAAAGTCTAGAATCTTATTCTCATTTTATATTAGGTCATGATCAAGCATCTGTTGAAAGGGGGTTCGGTATAATTAGCAACATGCTTAGTTAAAACATGAAAGAAAAGTCATTTCTTGTCTAACTATCAAGGATTTCATGATATCTAACAAAATTAAAGGCTCATCAAGTAGAAATCATAAAGGTGACCACAGTGAAATAATAAAGGCTGTTTGTAACACCTTTGAAACATATTTTAATATATATTTGTTTTAGTTGCCTTAATAATATAATTTATAAATAATTAATATTATAATTATTTTTTCATCGTTATTTGTAATTTTTATTACACCTACCTAAAATTACCTAGCCTAATTATTTAAGTTTATAATTTATTATTGTAAATTTCGTATTTTATGGTGAATTAAATGGAAAAAATAAGCTATAAAATGTGGAGCTTAAAAGATTTTTTGTTCTAATTTAGTAAGATGTCTGGGCGTGCTTTGTTAGTTAGTTAAAAAAAAAAGGTTTCTGTTGTATGAACAGTTAAATTATTGTTGAAATCAAATAAATGCGGTAGTGGTGTAGTGGTAGAGCGCTCGCTTCATAAACGAGTGGTTCCGAGTTCGATCCCCACCACGTCCCTGGTAGTACCGCGCTCAACTCGTTTCTCTGCGCAGCGGCCTTGCTCGTCAAGGTTCGTGTTTCGGAGTTATAGAGTTGAGAGAGGGTTATAACCACAAATAAGTAGCCTCCTCATCTGTAGTGGCCTTCTCGGCCTTGAGGAGGTGAATTAAAATAAAAAAAAAAAAAAAAAAAAAATGACTTGGTTTAGATAAAAAAAAGATTATACAAATTGATTGAAAAATTAAAAATAAAAATATATATGGTTGATTCAAACTTATAAATAAATGACAAATGAAAAAAAAAAGTAATGATTGAGCTGATACTCTGCTTTAGTTAAAAAAATAAAAACATCAATGTTGTGGAATCAGAAGTAAATAAAATCGTATTTCATTTGTGTTCTTGAAGTTTTAACTTTTAAAGTGATATTATTTAAAAGTGTACAGGGCGGCATACTTTTGATGGCTCACCTTGTTGAATAAATACCAATGCATTCATGGTGGTAAATGCAGCTCAAATTGCTATATGTTTAAAATAATTTTCAAAATTGAATTAAAATTTATATATAATGGAAATAGTTTTAGCGGACATATTAGGAAAGCATGTTAGGAAATTTAGGAAGCAATTATTCTACAGTTTTTTTTCTAAACACCATAAAATGCTTTTTATGTGTTTCAAGAAAAATGCTATTAATAAGAATTTAATACAAAAAATGTAAAAGTTTTTTAAAGCTAATAAAATTTCATTCTTCAAAATTTGCATTCTTCAAAATTCTTCAAAAATATTTTTTAAATCATCTTTTTATTTTTTTACAAAATTTTTTTTTGAAAAAAAACTGTTTAGTTTGTTACAAAAGTTGTAAAATTTGTTACAAAAGTAAGGAGAATAAACTTTGCGCTGAATATTATGATTTATGAGTAAATTTTGTGAAATACTTATTAAAAAATCACTTTATCACTACAATGTTTTAGAAATTTGATTGGCTTTTGGACAATCTATTACAGACCATTTGAATGGAAAACTCTTTCTTTGTTCTACCTGTATTTTCAAATCATCGTAATATTTTTTCTTCAAATTAATATAGTTTACTTTTTTTTTTGTCTGCTTAAATTGCTTCATTAATGCTGTTCTTAAGAATTAAATTTTTACTTCCTAAAAATAGCATTAAAAGGTATTTACTTTTATTTAAATAAATGATGACATAAGTAGATTTAAAAAAAAAATATACAAAAAGTAAAAAGTAGTTATTTATAAAAAAGTTCAAATACATATATATTTTAAATTTTACTATCCTATATCTGTTGTGCAACAAAAAAAGCAAGTACCTAAATTTTTATGCCAAATCTACTTTTGCAAATATATTGATTTGCCAGTTTCTAACGTGTCTAACAAAAACCATGTGACTATTAGTCATATTTGTATAGTTCTATATTTAATAATTTTAATTTTGTTTTTTGTTTTTCTTTACAGATAGGAATGAACATGACATATAGATTAGGAGAGTTTTTAAAAAAGCGATATATTGTTGAGTCTGGTTTTATTAATGAAAGCTATGTACAAAAAGAGGTAATAATTTATTTTAGAAAAATTACTACGAAACTGTTAAATAATATTTCCTATGAGTCTACTAACTTTTTTGTTATACCTATTTTTTGTTTTATCTCATTTTTTTTACAAGTGCAGATCATGTAACTAGATAGGAAAGAAAGAGAAATAATCGATATTCTCTTTGACTTTTATATACAAATCTCAAATACACAAATAAGTTTTTAGATTACAAAGGGCAATCACTGTAACAATATTCAACTTAATAGAACAACGAGTTTTAGAAAAAATAATATTTTTAACTGGAACAAAAGATAATACTTTGTTTGAGCAGCAACCATGGTAATATTTCTAAAAAAGATTGAAGTTTAAGTTTGGTTGTTAAAGTAGAAACATGTTTACAATGTATTTTTTGTACAGCCCAAATATTAAGATATTAAGTAGAAGATTCAGTTGCCATAAATATAAGAATATCAATATAACTGTAGGATTAAATAATCTTATTGACCACCTAACATTCTGCTAATTCTATCTTTCTCTACATTATCTTTATTTCTAATTAAAAAAACTTTAAAATATACTACTCAAAAATAAATCAAACTGATACTAAAAAAAGTGTCACAAAATAGTTTGCCAAGAAATATTATTGATAAAGTAATGCAACTGCTCACAATTTATGCTGATTATATTATTATAATTTATACTGTTTATATTAATTAACAATCTAAAACTGCTGATCTTGAGAAATGTATTTAAGCAAGTATTGAAATGTTAATGGATGTTACTTTGACAAAGTTATTTATGTTTCTGCTATAGAGAGAGTATTTAAGTGACTAATTTAAGTGACTTTTTTTATGATTATCAATAATTTCTCCCAGTTTTTAGATGGAAAAAATATGACTAGATATTTAAGAACAAAGATTGGGAAGACTTTGGATGTCCAACACTGGACCAACACTGCTTTTATTTGGCATCTACTGCCAACACTGCTTTAACTTAGCATCTACTTTTTAAGTTCAGAGTTACTAGCAAAACAAGAAAGAATGTTAAAGAGCAAGAAAGTGATTAACAGAAAAAATTAAAAAGCTGCATTTTATGAAAAAAAAAAAAAAAAAAAAACAAGACAAGAGAATGAATAAAAGCACTGATGTAGGTTGAAAAAATATTAGATGTGTCAAAGTGTTTTCAATATTTTTATAGTTTTAAATGTTTTTAAATTATAAGTTTAAAATATTTTTACAGTTTACTCATAATTTTTTCCATAAAATTTCAACTTCATTTAGATTTATATCCGAAGCTCAGATGAATCAAGATGTTTACAAAGTGTAGAAACAGAGCTAGCAGGTCTTTTCCCACCAATTGGATATCAGGTTTTATTTTAACTTTATTTTGTTAATATCTTTTGTATAGAATAGGACAAGCAACTCTATAATTTTTTTAAAAAAGTAAAAAAGGTTTCTAGCATTTTTTAATGGATTGGTCAGACATGGGCTTGCTGGCCCTAGATGCTATGATGGAGTCCTGCATGGACTTTAATTCATTTTTCTTAGAAGGGCATTTTAGGGGAAAATATTTATTATACTATGTTTTGGAAGCAATTCACATATAATTTTTCAATTTTTTAATTTATGGTTCTACAAATTAAATTCTTTAATTGTCTAATTTAAAGTGTTCCATTGAGCGATAGAATATTAGTGGTTTGCATAATAAAATAAAACCTAAATCATGTAACATTAGTCTCTAAACAAAGTAGATGTGTTGCTCAAAAAACTTTTTTTTGGTAAAATCCTGGAACACCCCCTATATTCCTATTGATATACTAGTATAGTCTGCAAAATATCTTTGGAATATTCCATTACTTAAATATTTATGCGGTAGTGGTCTAGTGGTAGAGCGCTCGCTTCATAAACAAGTGGTTCGGAGTTCGATCCTCACCACGTCCCTGGTAGTACCGCGCAACTCGTTTTTCCGCGCAGCGGCCTTGTTCATCAAGGTTCGTGTTTCGGAGTTATAGAGTTGAGAGAGGGTTATAGCCACAAATAAGTAGCCTCCTCGTCTGTAGTAGCCTTCTCGGCCTTAAGGAGGTGAATTAATATTTAAAAAAAAAAAAATCATCTTTATAGCCTCAAAAGATTCCATTGGTCTTTATAAAAAAAAAAATTTTTCTAAAATTTTAACCAGCTACTCAAAAAAAAAAAAAGTGAAATTTTATAGAAGTTTTAAAAATATTATTCATGTTCTATCTAAACGAGTCTAAAGAAATTAATTTTAAAAAACTTTATAAAAGTTAACATTTTTCAAAATGTCAAAAAAGGATAGTTTTTATGCAATAAAATCTAGTTTGATATTTTTTTTATAGAATGATTATTATTTTTCGAAAATTTTATTTAATTTTGCTAATTTTCTTTATTTTTTCTTTCTATTAGGAACCAGTTGAACTTTTTATAGCAACGTAGCACCACAAGGAAGGAACATTATAAACGTAATTGTGAGGTGTCCCATAAATTTACTGAAAAAAAACTTTTTTGAGTACCATCCTATAATGTCACGTCAATCACTTTTAGCTATCGTAATAAATAAATAAAAAACCAATCAAAGGTTGAATTAATTGAGTTACAATCGCTTGATTCAATCATGATCTTGAAATTTTTAAAATAAAAGTTATTATTTTTTTAAGTATTAAAAAATATACCTATAAATACCTAAATATATAAAAAATTATTAATAAGTGTTACAGAGTTATACTTATTAACAAGAAGACCCTATTAATAAGTAGACTTCTCCTTTTTTTTTTCTATAGGAAGACCTCCTCTTTTTTCTATAGGAGAGCACAGGGCTAAACTAATAAAAATTAACATTTTGGTTGCGTTTTTCTATGGAAAAAGTGGGCAACTTAAAATTAAGTCTTACAGCTTATAAATTACTTTACTAATTTTTTAAAAAATTTTTGAGTAATAATTTAATTTCATTGTTATTTTTTTCCAGGTGATTATATAACTAGAGGGAGTTCTATTTTTTTAAATTTTTTGATCTCTGTATTACATTTTTAAATTGTTTAGGTTTGGAATAAGAATATTAATTGGCAACCTATACCTATTCATTCAGTTCCATTTGACAATGACCCGGTACACTTCTTATTTCACTTGTAATTGTATAAAATATTAGAGATGAACTTTTATTTTGCAATAGTACCTCATTGTTCATTTTAAATAATATTACTTTATTTTTTATTAAATTTAATTAAGTTTACTTAAAATGAAAGGACTTAAAATATTGAATACTAAATAATGTATAATAAAATAGTTTTCACATTACACCTGAAATTAAAACAACATCCAGAGTTTCATGTTTTAAGTAAAATTACTATAACTTCTTAACTTTTAATCATAACAAAGATTATTATTACAAGACATGGTATATAATTAAAAAATCCTAAAGGCTCAGAAATACCCTAAATTACTTAAACAGATCCCAAACCTCCAAGACATGTTGTATTCATATTAAAAAGAATGATAAAAAAAAAAATACTTGAACAAAATTTTTTTGATTGAAACAAAAGTCTTCATAATATATGTGCAATCTACAGACTTGATAATTCATTTAAGCTTGTTTTATTCCTATGAGTTTTAGTACATGTCGTCTTTAATCAAAGTGTTTTTAGACTAGTTGAATGTAATTTATTTTAACTTTTTATAAGCAATATTCGGTATTTAATTTTATTATTATATAGCTATTTTATGTCAATATTATTATAAGTAATATTTTTAAACATCATAGAAGTTACATCAATAAAATATTTGATTGCAAAAAACCAAAACAAAAAATCGCCTTTAAGTATTCAGTAAAATAAGAGTACAAATGCAAATAAATTGATTTAATTTTTTAAATATTTCTATACATTTGTAATATTATTTTTTTAATACATATTTTATTTCTAATTTTTGGCCAAATCAGGAAAATATTTTTTCAGTTGATTTTTTACTATTGACAGTTTTGAGCTGTATACTTACAAAATACAGTAGTCTCTTGCTTAATTGCACACCCAATTAGTTGCACATTCCAGTTAATTGCGTGTTTAGGCCCAAAATATTTGTGTTTCAATTTTTTACTGAGTTTTTTTGTTGAAAGTGTAATTAGATCAGAAAGCGTAACTATTATTTTCCTGTGTTAAGTTAAAAACTAGTTTTTATCATAAAAATTTTGAGATAATGATTTTCTCAGAATGTCAATAGATAAATAGTTCGAATTCAAATCAAAGTAAATTATAAATCTTGTTTTAAACAGTTAATAATAAGTTTTGACGATTTATCAGTCAAGTCTCATTGAAAGAACTTTAATAAAAAAACTTCATTTTAAATTTAGCCGTCTATTCACAGTTCTCTTGTTCCAACTTTTTAATCCTTATTTCTTATGGCTAAAGGTTAAGGAAAAAGATTATCAGAAGATAAATGAGTCGAAATTATTGCTAAACTTAAAAAAAATGATGTGCCAAGCAAACAAGCGATTGCAAGAGAATATAATGTAACTGAAAATTCAATTTGATCTCTCTGAATAATCGAGATCAAATGGAAAAAAGAAGTTTACTAATGACAGAAGAAGCTAGACAAAAAGTGTTTCAATTATTGTCTGGAAAATTTGAAGCAATAGAAAATGAGCAGAATGCAAAAAATAATTGAAAAAAAATACAAATAGAAAAGCTGCAGAATGCATATCAGCCTACAATTCATGACTTTTTCATGCATAATATATTTCTTAAAAAAGATTTGTTTATATAGTTAATAATTTAGTTTGCTAAATTTTTTTTTATCTTTTTTTTATTTGCGTACTCCTAGTTAATTGCACACCGCAGTGCCTGTTTCAATTTGCGCAATTAAGCAAGAGACTACTGTACTTGAAGCGTTTTTACAATTTGATTTAACATTTTGTTAGATGATAACTACAAAATATTGACTTTAAAATATTGTTGGCACAACTTGATTACTCTACATCTATGTGGGAATGCATCACTATCCTTTAGTTATGAAAAAAAAAGATATAATTTTAAATAGTGATTGTAAATAAAAAATAGTAAATAGAATAATACCAATCTAAACATTATCAATTCAAGATCCTAATGTCAATGAAACATCCTTGGAAAACCTTTTTTGGTAATCTCTGTTGTTCAAAATTCCTTTTTTCCAATTTGTATGATGAAATTGCAAAAATAGCTAAAATAAATAAGTATTTTTAAAATAAAATTTATGAATACTATTACTTTACAGTATTGCAAAATACCGTTAGAAACTTGTATTACTTGCTGCTTATAATTTGGAAGCTTCATGATTAAAAAAATCCAGTGTAAGCAGAAAATTTCTGTTGATCAGCCCATGCCCCAACTTCATCTGATAAGTTTGTTTAGATTTAATCTTGTTTTACATTGTTTTCTGACTAGGATGATGAATTTATGATTTTTTTTGCTTCCTTAGCAATATTTATGTAACCATAGCTTTAAAAATCAGTTTAATGGATATGAAGTTGGCTGGTTGTAAGATTTGCCAAATTTTGTGATAACCCCCATGAAAAGTTTTTATCAGCATCTAGTATTGACATTGCTATATTTTGCAAGAATAGTGACCCTGTTAATGCTTTTTAAAAGAGCACTTTATTATGGCTTTAGGTTGATTAGAAGCAATGAAGCAAATACATATCTTATTGTTAGAGGTGCCAAGTGTTATTTATGTTTGGGTCAGGTTTTTTTGATAATTTAAATCATGATAAATGCTAAAAATATGACACAAAAAACTTTTTAGAAACCTCAAATTGGTTCTTTTACAAATACACATGGTCTTTGAGATCAGTATAATTTTACCTTTGCAAAATTTATTATATCTATTTGCTCTTTCTGAAACTACACTATGGATCAAGACTACAATAGTCACATGCTTAGAATACATTTACACACTTGCATATCAGTTCACCTTTTTGTGGTGAAATCAATTTTAAATCTTCTGACTGATATTTTAAGTGCATTTGCTCAGCACCTATTTACTCTATCACCGTTTTTGTGATAGTTTCTTGTTTTGTTTTAGTTTATTTTTGTGATATTCGATGTTGTTTCTTTTTGACATTGTTTATTTTCTTTTTGATGTTGTTTCTTTTCTTTTTGATGTTGTCTCTTTTCTTTTTGACGTTGTTTCATTTCTTTTTGATGTTGTTTCTTTTCTTTTTGACGTTGTTTCATTTCTTTTTGGTGTTGTTTCTTTTCTTTTTGACGTTGTTTCATTTCTTTTTGATGTTGTTTCTTTTCTTTTTTGATTTCAGTCAAGAAAATTGCATGTAGAGAAAATTTTGTAAAACAGGTTTATATCATCTCCATACTTTTCATCTTATAGTCTGGCAAAGATATAAACCTGGTAAACAGAAATTTTTTACTTACCGTTATTGTATTTGCCTGGGATGCTTTCTACAAGACATTAACCAGATGTAGTTAAGATAATCCCAGGATTAGTGTTTTTATTGAGACACCATCTCTAGCTTTTACCCAACCAAGAGCCCTAAGGCAAAGGGAATTTTTTAATTCATTAATTCATTTTAATTTATAGATGGATCTTTGATTCATCTATGAATTAAAATGAATATAATGAATCAAAGAATTCAGATAAATCAAAGATTTATCTGAATTCTTCTAAAATTTATCTAAAATTCAGATGAAAGAATCTAAAACAGTTCTTTATCAGAATGAAATCCAACAAAAAATATCATTAACTTTTTCATAATGTAAATGTAAATAGTTTGTTTGAATAATATCATATAAATAATTTGTTTGAAAGTTTATCTGGAGTTTTACTAGGTTGAGAAATAAAGGTTGTATTGTGTGACTTTATTGATAATAAAAAGTCATATAATAATAAAATTTGTAATCTTTATTTAGTTAAAATAGTCAATTAATAGAAGTATTTTCTAAAACAAAAATTATGAATGTTGCATTTAGATTATTTTTATGAATTATGGATTATGCAGTTAAAGTTGTTTCATAAAAGTTATATAAAAAGTTATATTACAGAAGTTAAATACAGTACCTGAATCTAAATTTGTTTTCAAATACATAATAAAATAACATAGAGAGGCAATATCCACTAGAACCAATCGATGATATTATTTTTGGAATAATTTATAAAAAGCAAAAATCTATCCACAAAAAAGGTCTAAACAATCTTGTACAAATTTTTTTATTTAAAAGCAAATATATTAAATAAATATATTTTAAAAATATTCTACATTAATTATTTAAAGCCTTATTTTAAAAGTAACTTGAAGATTATTTTTCATGGCGTTTCATGTTTTTTAATTTTGCATGTATTATTATTTTTTATTATTTTATGTGGAAATATTTTTTATTTCCACATTTTTTTGCCAGATTTTGCAAATAAAAATCTGTTGATTTTATAGATTGAATATTTTCATTTTTATAATCGAATTTTAGAGGTTTATAAAATAAGATTTTTTTGTAGGAACAAGGTTTCATACATTCTACCCAGATATTTAAACTTTCTTTTCACTTTTTTAATCCAGGTTTTGCGACCTCATGAGACTAATTGCCCTCGTCTTAAAGAAATATTGCATCAATTGACATTAAAACCTGAATATATTAAAAAGGAACACGATAACCAGGTTATTTATATTACTAGATTCATGTTCATGAGTAATTCATTTAATTAATTTTATAAATTTTTCCTAATTTCTTTAGAATTTTCTTAAAGATTTGAGTAATTACACTGGAATGAAAGTTGATTTTACAAATATTTGGAAAGTTGACGATGTCTTTGAATGTGAAGTATTAAGAAATCATTTTTAATGTTTACTATAAAAAATAATTTTTTGAAAAAGATTTTGTTTAAATTATGGAAATGATTTGCTCAAAAGTATCAAGGCAAAATAAGTTCCAAAAACTTTTTTAAAATTTTCTTTTTTCCACTTTTTTTTCTTAATGTATAAAAAATAAAAAATCAGTAATCAACTAAAGACAGTTTTGTTGCTTAAGACAAAACTGCTTTTTTAACCATTGCCTTGTTAAAAAACAATTTTGTTTCTACAAAAAATCATACGGCATGACTGAAATTTGCTAGAAAACACATTCAAATTCAACAGCACAGTAGAAGATGTTGGCTTAGTAATGGATTGGTCATGTTTAATCCATGATAAAGTTATTCCTATTTATTGAGTTCAAGGTATTATGTTCAAAAACATGTATAAAGAAATAATCAATGGCACAATGCTGTCACATCCAAAAAACAAAATGTTGTGTGGTTGGTCAACATGACAACAATTTGTAAGGCTCATCTAAACTAGTCACAGAATTTCCCTTCCAAAAGAAAGTTTGAGTCTTAGAAAAGCCACCATGATTTCTAAACTTAAACCCAATAGAATGTCTTTGGGAGCATATTGAGAGAAAATCTAGGTCACACGGCAACTAATCAATAGGATTTGTTTGGGTTGATTTAAATGCGCTTGGGATACATTATGTAACAGATTGTAATATAATATCAATATGTAACAGAAATCATAAAAAGTTATAAAAGTTTATCTTTTGTTGAGATAAATTTTGTTTTCAATGGACATATATAGATTGTCTAATAACTTTTGAGCCAATCATTTTCATTTTAATAAAATTTTGAGTAATTAAACTTTTAAAGTGATTTCAATTTATTTGTTAATGTATTATTATTTAACATAGTTATAAGTAATTTCATTTAAAAAATAATCAACTTAACGAAAAAAACTACGAAAATTTTTTTTACTGTATTTTATTAGGCAGCTCAAGGTTTTAGTCCACCAAAATGGTACAAAGATATAGAGATGCAACTTCTGGATATATGTTCATGGGTGTTTTTGTATCAATATAAGAACGCTGATGACGAGCTAGGAAGATTATTGGGAGGTATCTTATAATAAATTGTAAACCAATTTCTGTATCATACTTGTTCCTGTTTTAAATAAATTTAGTATTTCTTTAGGTACACTTTTGGACTGGATAAATACTAATATGAGAAATTTTAAAACTAAAAGATCTTATGATGAGGTGTACAAGATATCAATTTTTTCAGGGGTAAGATTAAATGGTTATATTAGTCCGGGTAAATAAAAAAAAGCAATTGCTCACAAGCAATTGCTTTGAGTAAAAGTAAAAGCTAAAAAGCAAATGCTCTTTAGCTTTTTCTTTTACGCAATTCGTAAAAAAATTACATGAAAAAAGTTTTGCTTTTACTCATAAGCAATTGCTTCCGCTTAGAATTAAATGCTATATATATATATATATATATATATATATATATATATATATATATATATATATATATATATATATATATATATATATATATATATATATATATATTTACAATTGAGTTGTATTGTATTCTGTTGGATTTAATACAGCTTTTTGTTGGTTTAAGAGTGATCGATATTTATAAAATAGATCAAAATATATTAAATAAAAGACTTATTTATGGTTCTTCAGTTTCATGCCGTTTGGCAATCATTCAGCCATATATTTAAAATCATTAAAATGAAAACCGTTATGAAAAATACAAAATTTCATTGCAACAATATCAAACGTCAGTTTTCGCGCCAAAACAGGAATTTATTTAACCGGTGTCTAAATTCAATAGCAAAAACTTTTTTCTGTGCCTACATGCTGAAACCAATTCACTTTTTTTATTTAACAAAGGTTCTTTATTGTATGTTGAAATAAAGTATTTCTCATTTATGCAAAGATTACACCTTTTTGAGGATGGGGTATAGGGTTGACATTTTTTAACAATACTCCACTTGGTTATTGGTTTATTGCCTGCTTCCTTTAGTTTCCAGGTTTCTATAGAAAGTTCGTTGTCATTTTTATACCTGACCAAGTTAAATGATTTTATGTGATTATATGATTTTATATATATATATAAATATATATATATATATATATATATATATATATATATATATATATATATATATATATATATATATATATATATATATATATATATATATATATATATATATATATATGTAGTGATGCTATTTTGTGCATATACTATCAAGAAAGTGCTCGATGAATCAAGTCAGAGCTATAATATATATAGTAGAAAATAAAAACTACGTGATTTTCACTTTAGTGAAAATCACGTAGTTTTTATTTTCTACTATATATATTATAGCTCTGACTTGATTCATCGAGCACTTTCTTGATAGTATATGCACAAAATAGCATCACTACATATATATATATATATATATATATATATATATATATATATATATATATATATATATATATATATATATATATATATATATATATATATATATATATATATATATATATATATATATATATATATATATATGTGTGAATATCAATTGAATGTGTAACACATATATATATATATATATATATATATATATGTGTGAATATCAAGTGAATATCAATAAATATCACGTAGTGAATATTAAAATCTTTTTCTTGATACTTTGTTATGTGAATATCAAAATTATCACTTGAGAAAATCACGTTGTTTTTATTTTCTTATATATATATATATATATATATATATATATATATATATATATATATATATATATATATATATATATATATATATATATATATATATATATATATATATATATATATATATATATATGTATATATATATATATATATATATATATATATATATATATATATATATATATATATATATATATATATATATATATATATATATATATATATATATATATATATATATATATATATATATATATATATATATATATATATATATATATATATATATATATATATATATATATATATATATATATATATATATATATATATATATATATATATATATATACATATACATATACATATACGTATATATATATATATATATATATATATATATATATATATATATATATATATATATATATATATATATGTATATATATGTATATAAATATATATACATTTGTATATATATAAATATATATATATATATATGTATATATATGTATATAAATATATATACATTTGTATATATATAAATATATATATATATTTATTTATTTATTTATACTTATATATGTATATATCGTCATAAAATTGTAAAATATAGTAAAATAAAATAATAAAATGAATGTCCAATTATCAAAAAACAAAACAAAAAGCAACTATTATAGATGCTCTTAAAATTTGAAGCAATTGCTCGTCGTTTTATGAGTTAAAGCTTCTTTATTCGTGCCTTTTTCTTTTATATGAGCAATTGCTGAGAGTAAAAGCTTTCTAGCAAAAAAAAGCAATTGCTCAAAATTTTTATTCGTGTAATTTGAGCAATTACTCCAAAAACTCGGAGTAAAAGCTATTGCTCATTTTTATTCACCCGTTCTATTTTCAGTGGTAGGAATAAATGGTTATATTTTCAAATATAATTGTCATATATTTGTATAATAAATAATTTAATATATGGCTTCAGCATGATAAATCAATACTGGCATTAGCAGCTACATTGGATTTGGAAATAACAGTACCAACATTCGCATCTTGTTTTATGATTGAAATGTACGAAGATAACAACGGGTATGTATGTATGTATATATATATATATATATATATATATATATATATATATATATATATATATATATATATATATATATATATATATATATATATATATATATATATATATATATATATATATATATATATATATATATATATATATATATATATATATATATAGTTTTTTATTAGAAATTTTTTAGTGGAAATGCATTTTCGAAATGATACATCTGGAAATACCTTTCTCTTCAAACTCAAAGATTGTGATATTTCTTGCCCTCTTGAACAATTTTTGAGGTCAGTGTTTGAGATTTATTCAATGTTTGAGATCAGTCAAAGGAAGTTTTCTAAATAAATTGCATTAACAAACTATATTTTTGTAAAATTTTGAAAAATTTTGTAAATTTATTTCTTACCATTTTAATTTGTTTTAAAAACATTTGATTAAAGATTTTTAATCTTTATGCTATGAAAGGGTAAGTTACAAATTGGTTTTATTATTTTTTTATTATTTTAAATAAATGTTTAAATAATTTATTTGTTATTTCATATTAAGAAGGTTAACATTTTTTGAATGTTTACGTAAATCTTTATAGATTCAAAATCTATTTAGACTTACAAGTAGACGAACAACAACAAAACAAGATTGTTTTCCTCATGAAAAATTTTTCTTGACACAGCCACGTACGTTATTTAAATTTTTAAAGAAAAATATCTTTTACGTTGCTAGTTTGTAAGTAAATTTAAATTAATTTTAAAAGATATTTTTAATATATTTATATTCTTTCAAAATTTCAATTTTATTAATTGTTTTTTTAGAATTAAAAATTGGGTTCTTTGTATTTATGATATTGACCTTGTTACTAATGGTAACGCTGATGGTCATAATTATTCGTAGGAGAAAGGTTTTAAATCGATTGAAGTTTTATAACTCCTCGCTAAAAAATAGTGAACTTGGACAACTATTAGCCGAATAAAATAGTGAACTCGGACAATTATTAGCCAAATAATCCCCAAGAAAGATTTTTTTCATATATATATGTACCCCTAATATAGTATAAACATCGAGCTTTTCATAAAACACTCCTTGAAACGAGACTGTGCTTGTTAAAATATAAATAAACCTACGTTTTTTAAAAATGGCAGTCATTAAATCAAAATCAAATAACAACACAAAGAAGTTTTTTTATATATATATTTATTTATATTAATAATAAAAACGATAAAAATAATTTGAATAATAACAACATTAATAATGTTAATAATAGAAATTATAAGAAAACAAACAAGTTTAAACCAGTTTAGAAAAGATGAAAATATTTACGTTAACATAAAATATTTACGTATTATTAAACAACCAAAAAAAGCATCATTAACTAATAATATTAGCTGAGAATGTTTTACTTATTGTTTTTCACATAGGTCTGATTTTTAAGATGGAATTAGAGTTCCAACAAATATCAGCTTTTTGAACTGAAACATGAAAAAAAAAAAAAAAAAAAAAACCGTATACGATTTTATGCTTTTTTCATGCAAATTACATCAAACAATTCTCTTAGAGAAAAACATTTTGATGTAATTTAACAACAACGAAATATATATATTTTCATATCATTACATAAAAAAATATATGATAATATTAATTATACTAAAATAAATCATATTATTAATGTAATTCGGAAATGACTTATTTTTAAGATATAAATTGTTTAAATGACTGATGTCGTTTAAACAATTTATATCTTAAAAATCAAATTTAACTTGAATTTTTTTTTTGATAATATTTTTTGGTTTCTAATATTAAGGTAGTAATAAAAATGCATCATAATATAGACAACATCAAGATATTAAAATCCTCTTAAGTATGCCAAAAGCGTTTGCAGTCTTTTTAAATGAGAACAACTCTATTTATTATATGTATACTACTATTCTATAAACAATAATATACTAATTAAAAGTTTAAATTTATAAAGTTAATGAAGAAATTTCTACATTTTATTCTGAAATTATACAAAGTAATAGTTTAACGCTGAGTTTGTTTTAATCGTGACAAGCACTACCTCGCTTTGAAAAATGTTCTTTATCCGTCGGAGATATTTATAAGAAGGTCTTTTGATTACCAAGCAAAACTCGCGTTCTCTCGCACACATACGCTCAAGAATAACAATTCCTTCATTTTCGATTGTTTTAATAAAAAGTGTTAATGATGTTGCTTTTTGTAGATATGTACAATTTTATAAAAGTTTTTTGTACTTTTGAAATGTTTATTTATAAATTTGTTTGTGCTTGATGTATCTTATGGAAAATGAACAAGATTTATTATATTTACTTAAGTTTTGAAATAAGAAGATGTTACAATAAAAGTTATAATATATTTATTATAGGCATACTTTAAAATAATAAATAGAAAATGAGATCCAAGGTACTATCTAAAACTTGCTTTATTATAGTTATTAAATATTCATGTTTGCGATGACAAATATATTTTTTTTAATTACATAACACATAGTGGTATATCAAAACTAAGACTAAAATTTTATTAGCAGCAGCATAAATTTTACTGTGATTAATTATAAAATAAAACTTAATTTTTGCAGCAACAGGGATAAATTTAAGAAATAAAAAAATAAAAAAAAAGCAATAAATGTATAGAACATCAAAACGAAAGTAAAAAGAAAGGTCACGAGTAAAAATTAAGTTGAATTAAAATCAAAAAACAAAAGTTTAAAATACTCCTACATACACCAGTATTAATGTATGTGGGAAGAGTTTAAGTGAGTGGCAATCAAAATAAGTATAAACAAAAGAGGAAGGAATAAATGACGTAGAAAAAGTTTTAATGGACCATTTGTTGAGTATTATCAGTTGTTAATCAAGTTTGAGGGCCGTCGAAAGATATTCATCAATTTTACTTTAATATTTTTGACTTTATTTTTAGCAATACAATTCAAACAAATGATACAATGTTTTTATATATTTTTTTCTTAATTATTGTTACCCTCAGTTAATTTTATCGTATTACTTTTCTCGTAATGATTTCTAATCAATGGAGGTATATAAACTTATTACCTGCTTATTTAAAAAGAAAAAAATAAATAAAAACTAGGAATAATAGTAAAACACTTTTAATTTCTTATAAGATAAAACCACAAGACTTTTCTTTGCAGAAAAGGTATATCAGGGGTGCATCCAGCATTATTAGTGTTTGAGATATTATTCTCAACTAAATTAATATTCATCATTAATTAATATTCATCGATAAATTAAAAATTTCATAGAACAATCTCTTAGTGTTCAATTATTATAACCAGTTCGAAAATTATGACCAAGTTGTGAACAAGTTTGAACCCCCTCAATTTCAAAGGGGTTACATTTTTTTTATTCTAATATTTACAATATGTAAGGAGCGTTAACAAGTTACAATATATAAAGAGCTGTTTTACGCATGCACGTTTAACATCGAGTTAAAATAATAAACTTAAAAATTCGTAGTTTATAATATAAATTGCTGGCTATTAACCCATGCATTTAAAATATATACGCAAGTCCGTCACACCACAGGGCTACTAGGGACTTGCTTGTCGCTGTCGTTAAAACTATGTATTAATATATACTAATAGTACTATAAAGCTGTAAGGAAACTCAAAAAAGACTTGAAAATTTTTTTTCATCGTGAATCTTTAAAATACAACATAAACTAAAAATTTAAAGAGTTTATAAAAAACACATTAACTTTTTGAAGTCATCTCTTCAGTAATATTTTACTATGTATAGTTGCTAACTATATGTATTTATTAATATTATTTTCAATTTATGTATTTATTTCTTTTTATTTTTATAGCTTAAATTGTACTTTTTACATTTTATTATATTAATTGTTCTTTTATATTTAATACATATCGATAAAATTGGTTTTGAGATCTTTCAGTTTTTTCTTCAAAACAATAAGATTATCCAATTTAGTAAGTTCTATATTTTGAGGTATTATTTTGTTGTATAAATAGAGGCCACACAATTGAATCTCGAAAAAAAAAAATTTTTATGGGCAACGTAAAGTTTCCGGTTCCTCGTGTTATATATCTGTTGGCGTTGGTTTGAAAAAAGTTATTAGTAAAATGAGTTGTGACAAGTCCGAGCTTATATTTGACCATAGATAAAATATTTTGGTGGATGTTAATTTGATAGATATTTAAAGCATTTGAGTTTTTAAGTAAAGGGTCGGCAGTGAATTTATTTTTGTTATTAATCAATCTTGATTGAAATTCCGCATTTTATTTTTAGTAAATTAGAATAATTATTACTGTTTAAAATAACACATTGTTGTCTATTGTACAAATAACTTTTAAACCAATCTAGGCTAGTATTTTTTATTCCGTATTTTTCCATTATTTTAGTAAGATATCTTGATTAATTGTACATATACAGTATTGGACCAAACATTTGCAACCAACATCGAACAATGCTAAAAAGTGTTTCTAATTTTACATGTCTTAAAAACGAAAGGAACTAGACTACCACGGCAAACAGTTCAGAAGTCTGGAGTCATAGCATGCCATGACATAAGCAATCAGCTGACAGGTGACAGCACACAGGCAGAATTTCGTTGGCAAGTACCATTTTGCAGCGGACAAAACACGTGTAACTTTTTTGGCTTGTTTCATTTTCTTAAGTCTGGTCCGTGTCAGCGTCACGGAAGTTTTTTAAACATTAAAGGAAGTTTCCAGAAGTTTCCAGAAGCTTCCAGAAGTTTCCAGAAGAAGCATCTGGAAGCATCCAGAAGTATCCAGAAACATTCAGAAGCATCCAGACGCATCCAGAAGCTTCCAGAAGCATCGAAACGAAGCATCGAAACGAAGCATCTAAAGTCTTTCAGAACAGCTTCACACAGGTTCATTTTACTATATAAGAGACATGTAAACCGACATGTAATTCAGTCAGTATATGGAAGTCAATCAGTCAGTATTAAGACAGTCTATCGAAGTGAGTTTTATCAAAGTGTTTTATCGAAGAACATCAATACAAGAAGTGAAATACAACAAGTTTTTCATTACATCAATACAGTCCACATCCAACCAAGACATTGTGTTCCACAGAGCATTATTGTATCATCACAAGGTAAATGTAACACGGTAAGCCTTGAGAAGCGTGATTATTTATTTTTATTATTTTTATGACTTCAAGTGCAAAAATGGCTCCCGACAGTCTTAGATTGGAACTAAGAAAGAAAATTATTGGCGATTACGTAAGTGGAATGTCACAAAAAAGTATTTGTGATAATTATCGTGTGAAAAAATGGACCGTATCAAGACTATGTTTTAAGTATCGTTCTACGGGGAAGTTGGCAGCAAAGGTGGAAAACCGTGGTTCCACCTTTGGTTCCACCACTTCCAGAGAGGATTCTATGATCGTCAGATCCGTCAAGAAGGATCCCTGGATATCATCAGTCGAGATACAAAAGCAATTAGAGCTGCCTGTGTCGGACCGAACAATCAGACGACGTGTTGTTGAAGCCGGATTGTTTTCTCGACGCCCTGCAAAGAAACCGCTTATTTCACTAAAGAACCAGAAGAAAAGACTCCTGTTTGCTACATCTCATATTGACTGGAATGTGCAGAAATGGCAAACTGTCCTGTTCAGCTATGAATAGAAGTTCAACATTATTGGGAGCAATGGCATTTGCCGTGTACGTCGACCGGCTGGAAAACGCCTCGATTTACGTTACTGCCATAAGACCGTAAAGCATGGTGGAGGAAATGTAATGGTCTGGCGATGTTTATCTGCTAACGGTCTAGGTCCAATACATTGAATCAATGGAATGATGGACCGTTTCATGTATAAAAATATCCTGAAAGATGTTATGTTACCTCATGCTGAATGGAATATGCCAATAAAATGGATTTTTCAGCAAGACAACGATCCAAAACACACTGCAAAAGTAGTCAAGCAGTGGTTTCAAGACAATCACCTATCGGTGACGGATTGGCTGCCTCAATCTCCAAACATCAACCCTATCGAGAACCTGTGGGAGATCTTCAACCGCAGAACTAATTGTGAAGGTGTTCGTAATAAGGATCAACTGTTTAAACAAATCCAAAAGGCCTGGGCAGCGATTCCACAAAGTTTCATTAATCACCTGATCGAATCTATGCCTCGAAGATGCAAGGCTGTGATCGACAACAAAGGATTCGCCACGAAATATTGATAGCGAAATACAGCTTGGTCAACATTTTGTGGAGTTGCACTTGTTTTGTCCGGAAGAAAATCAACTTTTTTAAATACTTTTGATTAATTTATTAATTTTCGTGTACAAATAATGAACTTTGTGATGAATAAAACTTGAAGAACGTTGTCTCTAAACAGTTACATAGTTATTTCTCTAAATGGAAAAAATGCAGCACTTTTATATAAAGAAACTAAATTAGAATTATTTGGTTGCACTTGTTTTGTCCGATACTGTACATATTTTCTTATTTACCATATACAAATTTTTTTATTTACCACTTTCATCTTTTAATCCTATTCATAATGGGTCGTGAAGGTCAAGTTTATATTGGAGCTCAAAGCCTGTATTTTGGGAACAACAAAGCAATTGAATTTTAAAAAGTAAAAATTTAAAGTAACCTAAATAAAACCATATTTAGCTATTTATTTTAAACATTAATGATTTTTTAATGACTAGAAAGTCACAGATTAAACATCTTGAGGTTTTGAACAATTTGAAAAAAATCAATCAGGTAACTTCTACCTGAGTCTGACTGACGCAGGTCGGTCAGACTCAGGTAGATTGCTCAAACCTTTAAAATTAAAACTTGTACTTATATGCAAATGAACTAGTGAATGACTTTTCCTTGGTAGTTAGTAATCGCTTATGATTTCTATTTAATCTCTCGCTCTCAACATCTTTATTGACTTCGATGTAGCTGTGGTTATTAGATTCATCTTCAAAATCTAGTTTACAGAGGCAAACTTTAAAAATAAAAGCTTTTTCTCATAAATGCAAGATTTATTTAAATTTTCTATACGTGATTCTCCATCCAATTTAACCAAATCTTTGCTTTCATCATCAGAATTTTTGATAAAGTTGAAAAAAAGTTCGTACGAACGTGTATTTCCGTTATACGTATTATGTTTATACAATACGTATTATGTATATACAATACGTATTATGTATATACAACACGTATTATGTATATACAATACGTATTACGTATATACAATACGTATTATGTATATACAATACGTATTATGTATATACAATGCCTGTTATGAAAGGCCGCCCAGAACTTTTGTAATGCCCGGGTCTAAAAGTTGAATAGATGCTCTATCAT